GGTCACACGCGGCCTGTTTTTGTTTGTTCTCTTTTGTTTGGTGTGCCTCAGTAGCATACTTATAACTCCTACCCTTATACATTGGAAAGGATACTGTCCTAAAGGGGCTTCTAAGGCTCAATCCTGGTAAGTCCAGTGGCCCTGATGAACTCCACCCACGTATATTAACAGCATTTGCTGAAAGCATAGCCGAGCCATTGTCGGTAATCTTCAATATGTCTCTGGACCAGTCTAAATGTCCAAGAGACTGGAAAGATGCCATCATTAGTCCAGTCTTCAAAACCGGATCTAGAAACTTAGTTCAGAACTATCGTCCTGTTAGTTTGATCAGTATTGTTGTTAAACTACTAGAAAGAATAACTCGTGATGCTATCATTCAGTTCATTGAAGGGAACAAACTTTTCGCTGTGGAACAGCACGGTTTTAGAGCAGGTCATTCTTGCTTGACCAACCTTCTTTTGGCCAGAGAAAGTTGGGCAAGCTCAGCTGATGCTAATATACCGGTGGATGCCATATTCATAGACCTTAGCAAGGCGTTTGACAGGGTTTCTCATTCAGGTCTTCTAGTAAAGTTAGGTAGTCTGGGAATCAATAAAGTGGTTACCGACTGGATTCAAGACATTCTAAAGGACAGAAGACAAAGAGTACGAGTTAACGGGGTTTTATCAACATGGGAATCGGTTAAGAGTGGCGTTCCTCAGGGTACAATTCTAGGCCCACTTCTTTTCCTGATTTATGTTAATGAGATTCCATCGGTAGTTAAGTCATCCTGCTTACTGTTTGCTGATGACATCCAGATATGGAGGGCTTTGCACGATGACAGTGATCAACTTGCTTTGCAGGAAGATTTAAACTTGTTAAGTGATTGGTGTAAGCACTGGGCCTTGGAGATTAACTTAATCAAGAGTGTAGTTATGCATGTATCTCATAGTCACGTGCACAATTACTCAATGAATAGCATTACTCTCCCAGTGGTCACTGAGTACAAGGACTTGGGAGTGGTTGTGCAGCATGACTTGAAAACAGCAACAAACTGTAGAACTGCAGCCACTAAGGGTTTTCGAATGTTATGGGCCATACGCAAGGCTTTAGCGAACTTTGACGCTGATATACTTCGTATATTATATCCGACTTATATCAGACCTCATTTGGAATATGGGATCCAGGCAGCGAGCCCGTGTTTCAAATACGAAACAGACTTATTAGAAAGGGTGCAAAGAGTAGGAACTAAGCTAATAAAGGGTTTCTCAACCCTGTCATATGAGGAGAAGTTAAGTCGACTGGGTTTATTTCCATTGTCATACAGACGACTTAGGGGTGACCTAATACTAGCATACCGTATCCTAAGAAATGATTTTGGAGCTGAATTATCTAAATTATTTCTTCCTTTTGCACCAACCAATTGCGACGACATCACCTCAAGGTTCAAAAACCACGGTCGAATCGTCTGCGTCTGGAGATCCGCTTTTCGCATCGAATTGTGAACCATTGGAACTCCCCAACGGAAAACGTCGTAACAGCGCCATCCATTGATTAATTCAAGGCGATATTGGAACTCCTGTATGCAATAAATGGAAAGGATAAACACAGGCATATAGCCTACTATATTTAATAAATTGTAAACTGTAAACTACAGTGTGATCGAATGATTTCGTGTTTGAATGTGATAGGATGGAAGCCAGAGAGGACGAGAGTGACGGTTGAACTCTAAGTCTGTGTCAGGGATAAGTACGTTGTGATCTGGTGAGAGGTGCAGACGATGATTCTCATCATCTGGCTTTCCAGCACTTATTCTCTGCTAACCAAGTTAACTGTCTCCTCTGAGCCTAGGTGACTGATTTGTACAGTAAAGACCCAGCTTTCGAGTGCACTCGGTTGACGTCATTCAGTTGATGATGGGATTTCTTGCTAGTTGTATCAGGAGTGAAATGCATCAGTGTGTGGTTGAAGATGAAAATTGAACAAGCATATACAAACTGATATAGGGCTTGGCGACAATGAGATGCACCGCTTTGCTCATTAAGTATCTATGAAAATGTGTTAGAAAATAGCCAGTATATAGAGTAGGAATATTAACAGCAGATTATTCTGCTGGATATTTTGTGTATTGAATGAAAGGCATATTGGGAGTAGCTGGATTGTTTAATCTCCGACTGGTTGACAGTTCTCCTCTGTTTCTCGATAAGTCTCAACGTAGTCATTCGTGTGTTTATTATACTGTATTTGTGTAAACTCAGATACTGACCAATGCACGGGACAGGGGTTTGAGGAGAGGCAAGGGGAAATTAATAGTTAAATAGTGACCGAATACACGGGTAAGCACTCCCATTAATTACATTCAATGGATTACTGACTGCATTTGTTGTACTAGTTTGTGTACTGGAAGAGACCAGAAATCTGCATCATGAGTAGCATTGATTTTGACTCTGAATTTTGTTTGATAGCGTCTTGAGCAAGTGTATCTGTGAAACCACACTGAGATGCTCGTGATGGTGTAGACACTAATGCAGCACAGGTTATTCATCTCGAGGAGACACGTTGGTGACCGACTACTCGTTTGTATCTTGGAAGCGGCTCCAGGTTAAGTGGTGTGTGATCGACTGGCATCCAAGACTTAAATTTTTTTTCGAGTGCATAAGAGTCAGTGATCCGCAGTTTTCCTATATTTGTGTATGTTATCCTTAGTGTTTTCGAGCTTTTGTGTAGGTTATCTTGAAATTTATGTGGCTGATATCGTATTGTGTGATTAATATTTGTATTATTTCTTCATCGATTAATTAGGATTATATAATAGCTTATGTATTGTTGTTTATTATTTGTGCAAGCTTTCCCTTGAAGTTTTTGTTGAAACAACTCGTTAGCATGTAGGCGACCTTGCACTCACAGTTTTTATTTTGTAGACACGTATGTGGAAATGTGGTTAAAGTTAGTTGACAAAAATGCCCACCGGTTGGATTGAAGTGAATGTTCGCGGAATCTGCCGAATTCTTTACGGCCTAAATTTAGACTAATGTTCACTGCAAATCCCACGAATTTAATAAATTTCACTGAATTATTTTTGTTAGAAAAACAAATATGCTTCCATATATATAATTCCCCTTTTATTATTCCATGCGTGTCTAAAATTAAGAAATGTATTGAAAATATTCGGATTAGAACTAAATGACGCCGATTACTTCTTAGTCTATGGTTGAGCGTATGCGTCAAGAGCTTACCAAGTTACTGATTGGATTAGAGTTACATCCAGTACGTTACCTAAGTCGTCATCAGTAATGTCATTCAAGATCAACTTCGGAGATAAATTGTAGTACTTGTCCTATACAACTGAACCTAGTTTAAACAGCCGTTCAAGCGTTGTTGTTAGGTAAAATTAACTCAGTAAACCTTCGTAACGTCGAGAGCACGTGCTGGCAAATGACATTTGTATCCGGAACATACGTCAATTCCATAATGCTATTTGCAATCCCATTAGCAGATGGTGCAAGTAAGCTTGATAACAAAGTTTTAGAAAAAACGTTTAAGTTGGTAAACACTGACTGAAGTAGAATTTTGCACGGAAGTGCACTAATTCAAGTTGTTGCCCCTCCCCTCCCGCCCCCCCCCATATAACACACAAAGTTAGACAAATGGGAGAAAAAGATAATCAAAAGACCTATAATTAGAAGAAATGCGCAGGAGTAACATGGGAAAACATGACGGTTTCATGGGCATGGGAGATCTGAGCCAGACATTGGTTCTTATCATCCCGAGGATCCCAACTGGGAAAACTACGCCTGTCAAAGACTTCATGGACAAATGTCAGGTTTTAGTGTGGCAACCCCTAGCTCTTTACCAACCTAAACCCATGTCACCTAACACTGGGCGTCGAGGAACGTGGTTTGGCACGCGCATTATATATCCTAGTCATCTGAATGGCATAGCTTTACAACGTCATCGACTGACTCAACCTTCTCAACTGACCTCAATATTACTTGGTGTATTATACACTTAACACAAACAACTGTGGTTATAAACAGCTAACATTTTTCATAATTTCCGCTTCCAATGTCTGTCTCACAGCTACAATGGAGCGAACTACCGTGTAATGCATACGTCATCTTATCGATAGTTGGATATCACAACTTCCCCGGAGATGACAAATTTGGCAAATGTCGCACGAGCCCAATTTAACCGTCGTGAGATTTCATCAGCATTTCCGATAACTATATCTGTTACTCTAATGATCATTCTACGCATAATCACCCAATACAGGCTAAGTAGGGAGTCAACTTTATGCTTTACCTCTGAAACCCGAAACGATCAAACAGTTAAGAAATTTGCTTTGACTTGAATAAAGATTATGCCGCAAGACTGTCCAGGAACGAACTGAATTTTTACCATAGAAGTTTTTACAAAAGTGCTGCAGTTTAAATTGCCATATTACATAAAAGTACATAAAAAAGTGGGGAAAAAATCACCAGATATAGAATCATGCATGCAACGGAGACTTGTTAATCTATTTGTAATAATGTTCTTATAGCTAAAAGGATTGATTCCTCGGGAACCGACTGGAATATGTCCTGTTTGCATTCAGAGAAATGATGATGAGAGAACAATACATGAATCATACACCTCCACTTGGAGATCGAAGCACATTTTAGCACATAACTGTTGTTGAACTTATACATTTTCACGTGCCCACTGGTTTATATTCACGATATACATTCTCAGGAGAGCACAGATCTTACTACATTGACAGATTTTCAACAAAACAAGCATTCACACAAAAAGTAAAATATATTTGAAGAATAAAGAGTGCCTTCGAAGTAGGCGGCAAACAAATCATTGTATGTTTATGTCCGTTATCTTGTAAGCAATAAATGAAAAGGCACCTCGTGAAGCAACGATTAAATAGGACCAAAATAAAAAGTTAGGTAATGGAGTGTACGATTATAATATCAGTATCTCTGAAAGAAAGAAATCAAACATTACGTCTGTTAGTTCTAAAACTATGTGACCTTTCAGTCCAAGTGAAGGGGTGGTGGCTGTTCAGGAATAATTGAAGAAATTAACGCTGAAAAAAACTGATAAGATATGCCTGCCGCTGTCCGCAAGTGTGCAGTTATTCTCGTAAGTCTTGGTTCTTGTTCATTAGGCATGTTAGCACGCGTTTGTACCTCTGAGGAGCTGGGCTCACTAACTGATTGGTTCTGCTGACTATCCGATTCGTTGACCTGTTTGAATCAAAAATCAAAACTTTAGTTAGTATATAGAGCTTAATGTGGGGACGACAATACACAAAAGTGACATGGAAACAATTAAATGATCTACAGAGTTAATACATCTGTGCACGAAACAGTCTTTGCTTACTGTTCATATCACTTTAAAGACACCCATTCCACAACCAACCAACCCCCCAAAAAATAACAAGCATGTATTCATGTCATCTTTTAATCTGGGCTATACTTGTGACCACAGCAGTTCACGAAGCATGATTACACCGTAATCGACGAATACTTTAATTACATAAATGGTTAAAACCTGTTTTATATATCTTCCTCAAAATTTTACATTGATTCGTCCTACACTGAATATAAGGTTTTCAAAGGGAATAAGAGCGTATTTCCACCCTGAATTGTAATTTGTAATTGAATTTCATCAACATAAGTCGACATGTACTGAAGTTCACAGAAGAGTATATGATGCGAATGCCAGTTTCAAGTGTTACAATATATATATATATATATATATATATATATATACTTGTGTATCTAGTAATTATTTTTTTTAAGATAATTAAAAATAGATAGTTGCTTCTAGTCAACTAAATAGTGGAAAAATTATTTATTCTGAATCGACATCAAAGTACAGTACATTTAAAATAGCTGAATAACGAAGACGGTAGATTATGGAAAACAAATGCATTTAACGACGTATATGGAAAAAGTCATACCAATCTAGAACTCACTGGATTATTAGAACTGCCTTGGTCAATCTGTTGGTTTTGTTGTGATCGACGCGCTTGCATAAGACGCTCCGCAACTGCATATCTTCGATAAACATTATATCTGTAAAGGTAATGCATATGAGCTAATTTTTCATGTATTTTGATCACATTTCTAAGCATAATAAGTGTTTAGCTGAGATCAAAGATATAAGTACATCTTTTAGGCACAACAGCAGTTGATATCCTAGTCTCACAGTCTAGAAGCATATTGTCTTAAACCATACGATTTCGGAAAGAAAACTTCATTACGAAAAGTTTCTCCATGAATAACAATTAGGTGAATAAGTCAAACATTCTGCTGACACTTGATACACAGTTATTATAGAAATAGTAGCAAAAAGCAACTACTTTACGATTTTCTAGAGAAGCTGTCCAAAATGCTATAGAAAACAGTAAATTTACTAGAAACAAAACTTTCCAGTAACCAATAATGAAGTTTGCATTTGATCTGTAATTAAATACCAGTACATTAGTGAAAATGAGATAAGGACATACTTTCACATGCCAATTGTTTCATGGAGGCAAAATGATCACATACACTAACGGTTAATTACAGAGTTCCACTCTACCTGAATTAACATGTTCAAGAAGCACTCAAATCACACTTTAAAATTGTATTTGTTCAGTGTATTTCAGTTAACGACTGTGAAGACGTTCTGAATCTATACGAATTTTTTAACACTGTTTCTCAATTACCCCACTTACTACTGAGATATGCTGTATGTGGAAATCATAATACCTTCTAAAATGTCAGAATTAGGTTGGAAACGAAATGCTGTGTTCGCAAATATTACATTAGAAGCGCAATGTACTCAAAAGCACTCAACAGTTAGCATTCTTGGTTGATTAGTTGGAAGACTAGTCTATTTTGTCTTCTGACAATCCTATTAATGTGACATTCTGGTAATGGCTAGGTATTTGTTCATCTGAAAAGTTGATCTCGTAAACTTAATAAATATCAATTAGTACATTTATGAAACTTGGATTTTTTTAAATGTTTCAACATTGCGGTTGCAGTAAAAGCTACCCAGAAAATGAAGACTTTCATGTACATAATCTTTTCCATTAACAACCTGTGAATCTCTAACTGATTACGCCAAGAATAATTATGGTATCACAACTGAAACATTTCTTTTGAATTCGAAAGGAATAATTAAGACTAGAAAGAATTGATATTGACGCTTTTACCTTATCTTTCCTTCTCTCAGACTAAATGAACCATCCTATTATGTGCTGGTTTCAAGTAAGAAATCTGGTTTGCTTAACATAATACGAGTTCAAAATTAACAATTATGTAGTCTCTCTAAAGCTTGTTAACGTTTATTTTTATATAATAGCATGACTGAGAGAAATGATGAACTTACATGTATACGTAAGCGGCCACTGAGAACACAATGACTGCCTTGTCTAACGATGAATATGCAAAACAGAGCCCCACAAAAAGACATAGACGGAAGAGCATATAAAAACGATCGATAATATCCATGTTTTCCACTCCTTCAGCCTCTTCATCTTGTCGAGCATTATTTCTCATTGCATTATCAAACACAATAACTTGCTGAGCAACTTGTGGTTCAACACGATCAGCTCTTTGGTCATTCACTGCATTTTCATTCGGGCCTGCCTCATTCGCTTCCTGCTGGCGCTGATTAGCGTTAGAAACTGCCCAACTGGATAAAAATGCTTGTGCTCTCTGCATCAAAGGCTGCAAATTATTAGATGAGTCATTTAGTGTTCCCTGGGTAGGGAGGCTTGATACTTGTGACCACTTGTTAACGCGTTGGGTAAGTCCGGACTTCCAGGAAGCATATGAGGTGCAACTCCTAATGAACCAGTAATAACAAACAACTACAAGATGAGTACATATTTCAACGATGTTAAAATAAAGGCTCAAAGCATAGAAGGAATCCATGCCTAAGAGCAGACTACCATACTGAACGCGAGTATGATTACATGGGACTATGCATCAGGACGGAATCTCTATTTACTTTATTGGATAACGGTGCGAATTCTCTTCACTACTTAAGTCTTGCATTGCAGGTATTGCTAATAACTGCCTGGTTACCAAAATGACAACACTTTTGGAACATAAAATGAACTTGTCACGCACTGACACGGAATATTGATGAGTTACTGTTAAAACTAATCTGAAACATGTGGTCCAATCAATCATAAAACTATTTTATAGGACACTTTCTATCAGAATTATCAGTTCATCAGTGTTTATCTTGATACCTAAATATTTTATTACCAGTCATCATATACGAAACTACATAAAATCCTCTTCATACCTGTTCCAAAAGCATACGGCCAGTAGCAGTTTTGCATATAATGGTCTGTTTGATTAGCAGAAGACTCCATGTAAAAAGTTTGTAAATATTGATAATATGCCTGTTGATACGCGTGCAACTGCTCAGGTGATATATCACTGAAATACACAAAAACAGCACTTCAAAGCATCTAAACAAATTCATTGCATTCTAAACAGAAGTTCGGATAAATTTATTAATAAACATTATAAATAAGTTACATCGCGAAAATAGATCTTAACAGGAGGAACTGATCACAATCGATCTTAATGACGATTTAAATGTGTTTAGTTAGCTAGACAACTAACTTGAAACGAAACATATTATAATTGTTTGTACATTGAAGACACGGTACTAACTGAATATAAAATAAATGCACACGACATCGACAAAGTGTGTCACATATTTTTTTTTAACAGAAATGGATTTCTGAATGATTTCCTCCTGCTTTCATATTTTCACAATGTCTTATGTACATTGCTCAAAACAAAAATTTACTGAAACTAGTTAAAAATACTCCTGCTCTACATAAGACAAAACTGTGAAAGTGATTTGTTTTTTGGATTGCTACTGTAAAGAGTGTGACTAATCTTTGAGAACCAGCGGTTAAACATATTAAACAGTATCAGTCGGAATCGATCTGCAGGACCTCACACTTCATTGAAATTTATCAACGTATTCTTTGTCATAATTGCTGTAAGAATTGAAGTTAATTATAGTCAACACTCGACAAGTGACTAGCAGATTTCCCTAACCCCAAGTAGCAGATGAGAAGACTAACAAATCTATTGGAACGTGCACTCCGATAGAAAAATAATGTGATATTGTATCTAATATTCAAAATGTGACATAGTATAATCTGATCGGTTGCCTGATCAACACATATCTATCAATACAATGTAGATATAAATTTATGGACTTCCACACTATTCAACAGTCGCACAACACTGTCTCACCTAATCTTAATCATGTGTTTTGCTTCCCTCCCTCGCCATTCGACAAACAGTTTCTTCACGCTCTCTTAACTTTGCGACCAGTATCTTAGAATCACGTGGTCGATTTCATAACGAAGCCTTCGACGTCAGGACTCTATCATCTTTGACATCAGGCCCCAATAACCAGAGCCTCACTAACATATGTGTAACACTTGGGCACTGTGGTAGCAAGTAATTACACATTAGTTTTTTTTATTAGATGTATCACAGTGAAAGTATTATTTACTGGATGACGTTTCGAACAAATTTATTGTTCATAATAATATCGATTATAATCACACGACTTCGAAATTTCAGTTTTATAGTTGTCTTTGTTCTCTCCTATCTGTCAACTGCAATACGTGTAATAGGAGCGATTCAACACCTGTCCCAGATATCTGGAAAATTCTACTACCCCTATGACAAATAGAAGAGAACAAAGAAAACTATAAAACTCAAGTTTCGAAGTCGTGTGATTATAACTGATTTGATTACGAACAATAATTTTGTTTGTTTCACTGTGATACATCTAATAAACAAATTAATATGGAAGAACATCATTACCTTGAGATATGGATGTAAGTTATGTTTAGGAAACACGACTCAAATGGAGTTACTGGCTAAACACCACCAGATCAACATGATGAATTTGCATAATTCACCTAATGAGTGTCCGAAGATCTTTCCGATAATTCGCGTGCACCTGCCAGTGTAGGCATATTGTTGGGTACCAAAGCAGAAAAATCCCTACCTAAATGGATTAGTCAACAGTCATATGTGTGTTGTCCGTTTGAACAGATCCGTCATTAGGACAGATAACTATTCATAATCTCCACTTACACCTCAACCAACTGCAGTTCAGACGAAATAAATGGTTTTATCAAAAGACCACTTTGCGGCTGAGAGCACCATGCTCAGATACATATGTTATAAAAGCTGTCTTGAACGCTCCAACAGGGAAGCTTGGTCAATCAGAAGAGTATATTGGTGGAGTTGCGTAGTGATCGTTTGTTACAGTTGTTTTTGGATAATCGTCTGTTCCTGGTCAGCATAAAATTGGGGCATAATGAGACATTGCGTAACCTGGAGATCTCCTTCATCAAATCAACAATGACCTCTGATAGATCACGTACCTATGAGCTATGTATAGGGAGAGTCAGCAGAAGACTGTCGCTATTCCTGGAAAACCTGTGTTGATTTCAACCACCCTACATTCCATGCACTTATATGCATACAGCTGAACGGACGTAGGAAACTGACAGCTATGAAGTTGATATGCCAACTCAAAGACACAAATTCTTCATTTAGCAAAGAAATAAGGAAACGCAAGACTAATCTTGAAGTCTGGCATAATATCTAGTCATCTGTAGAAACTGTCTTAAAGGCTGTTGATAATTTACAGCCAAAGGCTAGTGAATGCCTGTGTATTCCTGTTTGTTCATCTTAACTGCTGAATGCGTGAATTTCGATTTCGGCGGACTACGAACTGAACGAGGAAAGAAAGCTGCCCATGTCTACTGAGCAACTGTGAACAGAGGTCGGTGACAGGTCAGAAGTAGGAAAGGCATCGGCGTTGAGTAACAAGAAACTCACCAGGGGGACAGGTTTTTAACAGGTGATAAGCGAAACAATTTCCAAGAGCCATGCTTTAATTACTACTCAAGATGGAGTGAAACGTTGGACGGGACACTTTGAGAAGCGGTTTAACTAGCTTGCAGCCATGCTAAACCTACCATGGATCGAACACCCACCTGTTCGGGATGTAGAAATCACTTTTTCATTGTTTGTCTGTCTGTTTTCGACATAGAACTTTCCACCGATGTGCAGCAGTTCAAGTCGCCACACTCCATGTAGCACACAAAGCACGAGAAGAACGTAGAAGAAATGCATAATAGAGACAGTAAACAGAGGTGTGAGACAAAGGAATAGTAATAACGAAGAACAATATAGTTTCATTGAAAATCATAAGTCACAAGGAGTGGATGAGTCTGCGCCATTGAGAACGATTTTGACCCATGTCACCAACTGTTTCCAACCATAGATTGTTACCGTTCCGAGGACCCCAACCACGAAGTCCACACTTTCCTACGTGGCTTAGACTAACTGTTGTAGATTTCATTGACTGGTTCCATGTTTTGTTTGACCTCGCTAGGTATTTTCCAGGTTGACCCTATATCAGCTAACATTGCCCGTCTAGGAAGGCGATGACTAGGGATACGTAACACACGTCCTAACCATTTCAGTCGATGTAATTTCACAGCCTCGTCGATTGATTTCCCCTCCTTATCAAGAACTCGACGCCTAACCTCAATATTGCTCACCTTATTATACCACTTCACACGGGAGATAGAGCGCAGGCACTTATGATCAAAGACAGCTAATCTTTTCTTGTCTTCCACTCTCAGTGGCCAGGTTTCATAGCCATAAAGGAGGACGGAGCGTACTGATGAGCAGTACACCCACCCTTTGGTCGATAGTCGGATATCACGTCTACGCCAGAGACGTGTAAACTGACATATGCGAAACTAGCCCTTTGTATCCGTGCTGAAAATTCGTCGGAGATTAACCCGTTGGAGCTGATAGTACTTCCCGAATAATTGTTGGACGCCGGTAACAATGCCTATGTTTAGAATCTGTCGAAGGGTGATGTGATCAATACACCCTCTTCCTGGTTCTCTCGTGTTTGTGCCTCCCGAGCACCACTTAGTCTACGCATGATTATTGAGCCTAGGACTTAAGATACCATATTAGTCAAGCTAATCCCCATGTGATTATCACAGGAAGACTTGTCTCCCTTCTTGTATATGGGGATAATCAGTGACTCACACCAAACCGAAGGGACTTCCTCTGATTCCCAGACGCTGCATAGTACCTCAGTTAATGCAGACAGTAAACTGTCTCCACCGTACTTAAATACCTCTGGAGTCATTCCATCAGGTCCTGCTGCTTTGCCTTGTTTCAGACTAGTGACAGCTTTAGTAACCTCAGTCAAGGACGGAGGACCTGTGTCTATATCTCATTCAGGGAGGTGTTGGATGTTCGGCAGGTTAAGCCTGGCTGCTCATAGTGTTTTTTCCAGCGTTCCAGTCGTCTACCTTGGGAGCCAACTATGGTACTATTTTCCTCGGAGATGGTTTCACTGATCATTTGCCTCTTACCACCTGTTTCAAGCCTAGATAGTTGTCTACTTTTACCTATCGTCGATGCCTTTTCCATCTCTTTCACTTTTGTCGCCCACCACTGTCCACAGTCGTTGCGAAGACTTCTTGTTAGTTTTCGTTTGAGTAGCTTTTATTCCACATCATAATCGAGGCTCGCCGGAATCAGTCTTCTTGCGTCAATCAGTTCGGATGAGGCGGTAGAGATCCAATGGCGCTTATTAACTTTTGGTTTTAGCTTATTAACAGCCTTTACAGCCGCCTACAGCTAACTGTATATTGTGCCAGGCTATCTCAGGGGAAGTCCTACTGTCGACCTTAGACACTTGTTTTGCTATTTCTTCCTTGAATAGGGACTTAGTGTCTCGATCTAGTTGGGAACGTTACTGTTTCGCTGCCATCCGTTTAGTGTAAGAAAGATTCTGACACAATGCTGGTGACTGCTTTTAGTCTAATCGCTATGCTAATAACCTTCCTGGTATGGTAGGACCTGTAGGAACATTGGTTTCCAGCCACTGCAGCTTGTTGGGTCATCGCGTTGTGCAAGCCCGACCACCACGTCAAAGTAGCAGCTATCGGTCGGGCTTTTTCAGTGTTGCAGTTGTAAAAGCTGTCTCTAATTTTGAATAAGGCATAGCAACAGGACGTAGTGAAATGACTTCAGAAGCGCTTAAGAATGGTGATGACTCATCCACTGGATTAAGTAAGATATTATGTGCCGAATGGGAATCAGATAAAGTTCCATTGGACTAGCTTAAATCATGAATTAGCCTAGTTTACTAAAAATAGATAACTCTTGTGATAATCACATATATACTAGCTTGACCAGTTCCAATAGTCGTATGTAGATAAGACAGCTGATGAGACAAAACCAAGTAGGGTTAGGCTCGGACCAATGTGTACTGACCATAAATTTACCTATTGGCAGATTCTGGAACATACGCATATTTACCGGCAACCAACGCCTGACCTGAAAGCAGCAGTCAACTTCGTCTACCAGATTTCTGACAATGTATGGTTCTGAATGGAGCGTCGAGGAAATATATACTCAAACTCATGCAGCTGTTAAAGGACTTATGGAAAATTGTCATCCAAAGTAATGACAAGCAGTGGTGTCCATCACAACGCTCTATCTCCACTTTTGTTTAACTTTGTCGGGGATATATGAGTGTGTAACGCTAATCGACTTTAGAGACTTGAGGACTGACATGTTACCATGGTAGTCTCGTCAATTTGAAGCAAGCACATGACATTGTCTTCCTAGGTGCAAACGCTAGAAAACTGTGGACTATTTTGAACCTGCTGAGCTGAAATATTGCTACGCCTGGCATGAAAGTAGCCTGTCAGATGTAAGGGGATGCTTCAGGACAAGTTTACACACACTTCAAGTTAAAATATAAGGAGTGGTTGAGCGTCACGACCACCTCACTTAACTTGGAAGTTGCTGACGAAATTTCAGAGTGGAAAAGAAAGGGTCATCTAGCAATCTCTAACTTATGTCGTCTCTGGTGTAGCAGCGATATCCTCATATAAATCAGGGTAAGTGTGTACTCAGTCGTACGCTTCATTCTCTATCAGGGTCGAGGCATGGCCGTTGAAAGTGGAAAGTCATGAGGAGGTTAGTTCTTCATCTTAGGTGTTTGCGTTCTGTCTCCCCGTTTGTGGTATAAGGTGAGCAATACTGACGTTACACTTAGTGTTAAGTAGGGAGGGAAAGTCAATCGATGACGTTGTGAAGCAGCATCAATTTATACGGCTGGTACATATATCACACGTCGATCCATCGAATTCCTCGTCAAGAAATAGGAGCTGATATCCGAATAGGTTGGAAAAGATTCAGGGGTTGTCAGATTAAAAACGGCATCAATCCATAACGTTTTAGCCACTTTGGGATATATGGTCAGAGCCAATGGAGTGAGACTGCTGGTAACAGCTCGACTTTCTAACATCAGAAGCCCACATGTCGTTGTCAAAATAATAAATATTTCCGTAAATGCAACATGTTACAGACAGTACAGTTAATCAGATTTAACTGACACATCTGTTTCGTGTTAGTAAAAGCATGTCTAAGAATTCATATGGAATGGCTTGAGAGTCCTGTAGTTTATGACATTGTCAGATTTCAAACTGGCCGACATACAAAAATTGCTTCATGATTTGTTTCTTAGGAAACAATTAAAATTATTAATTCACGCTATTAAAACTAAATGAATTATTAGACGAACGGTATAACAAGTTCCCTAAAATAATTTAGGAAATCACTTAGCTGACATTAGCGAAAGTACTCAAGTTAACATGAGAAACTAAAACAGAGAAGGATGGTAGGGTGTCTTTGAATCTGACTGTCTCAATGGCTAAAGTACTCAAGTTCTTGGTATGAATCTCACTCCACATACTTCAGCCTGGGTGGCTATGCATTACAATCAACTTCACATAATGGGTGTAGCCTGTATCTTGGTATATAAAAACCCTGTTCCAGGTAACGGAGTTCTAACTAGTCAACTAACCTTTTCAGTATATGCTGACAAAACACAAGATGAACAAGAACAGAATACAGAATAAAAGTTGGTGTTATTTTTCTCTAAGATGGATGGTTTGGAAGCGAAGCGGACAATTTTTCTAGATAATATCATTTATCTGGAGTACAAATCATCATACCTACAGTAAAAGATATGACGACAGCATTAACCTGAATATACGGAGAAAAAAATTCATTAAACAGCTGTTTGGGCTGCTTGTAAACGCAAACAAAGCCGATAATAACGTTGAAATTTATTTTGACATTTTCAAATAGATTAATTCCCAGGACAAACATAGCCTTGTAGAAAACAAGTGTTCTTGCTGACAATTAAAGTTACCCATGCAACAGATCGACAAATAGATGATTCAATGAGAACGAGTGTGGACGGAAACATTTGTTAAATGGAACACAGTGGTAATTCTCGACGGAGCTACCTAAAACCGAAGATAGTTCGGAGGTCCAATATTAGGAAAAACCTGGCCGCTTAATGTCTTAAATAGCGCTCAGTAATTTAAATAACGAGTTAGTACACATATCACAAAGCAAAACTACACCAGTGACGACCACAAGGAACTCTAGTTTCATTACTTTATCATCAGAAAAATTGTCACCAAAAACCCACATCAATAACATTTCAGTCAAGCATGAGCAAATATAAAGGGACTTCCAACACGTGTTTGTCATCGCTAAATTACTAACTTATTGACTAAATCTCATGAAACTGAAGAATTTCAAAATACAGTTGCGAGCTCTTGACTACTATCAGTCATATTTGCTTTTAAATGTAATTAAAAGACAGTTAAACGTAAAAACACACCAAGAAGATAAAATTAGTTAGACTTACGACCAGAAATCATCTGTTTTTTCACAGCTAACGTCTGTAGAAGCCAATGGCTTCGGGTTGGGACACACTAAGTGAATAGTTTGGAAGTCATCAGCCTACCAATGGCCAATAAGTAAAAGTCTTACATTATCACATATGCTGGATATCGTCAAATTATCTCCCAAAAGCTTTCCAGCGTGAATGAGTCTTTGTGACGAAAGATTCGGTCTAGCAGGATGATGCTCCGACAGATAGGACTTCAGGTCTCTAACCTTCCATTCAGGAAGACATTCTACAGCTTGACTTGGTATTTTGTCATTGGGTGATTTGATGATAATCTTATACTTCGCCGCCGCCATAACCTGAGTAGGGGGTCAAAGGTGACGACACGGAATCAACGATAATTTACCCGCTAACACCCGGGGCTCACTCAAACACATTTAGATTTCCGATTTATTGGTTGAAGATAGAAGCCCTAGAGCGTATGTTAATCCCTTTCTAGTAAATTTCTGAGGTTGCCCAAACCCTTCTTAAATGAATCAGTTGAGGCTGCAGACATCACTTCTTCTGGGAGTCGGTTCCAAGAGTTTGTGACTCGGTGTGAGAATCAGTGCTCAACAGCAGTATGATTTCTTCTTGGTTTTGAACTCTCCTGCTATGTCCTCTAAGGTGTTCCGACCTGGTGCGGAGGAAAAGAGAGAATAGGTCAGGTCCGTAGTCATTTAAAATTTTAAGCATTATGATTAAATCTCCTCTCTGCCTACGGTATGACAGGGAGAAGAGATTTACACTGTCTAGTCTTCCTTCGTATGATAAGTCAGTCATGCCGAGAACCATACTCATTGCCTTCCCGTGAACCCTTTCTAGAATGCATGAGTCCTCTTAAGCACAAGGACTGGCTGTCTGGATAGAGTTTTCCAGTTTTGACTTTACCAGAGATGTATATAAGGATGTAAACATATCTCTGGTGATTCTAGTAAAGGCTGTGAAAATTAATATAAGGATCTGAGACTACATGCGGCCGCCGCGCGACAGTGTGCTTCAGTTTTCAAACCGTGACTATCTATGACACCTAAATCCAATGGGTCTGAGCTGATGGGAGCGTTATTCCCTCCAGTTCTTGGGAGCTGATGCTTGCTTGTCCGATGCGCATGATTGAACTTTTCGCTACATTGATAGGGATCCCCCATCCTCTGGACCACTTTGACCATTTGTTGAGGTCCTCTTGCAACGTCAGCGCGTCGCTGTAGCCTTTCAGCTCTCTCCAAAGTTTCAAGTCATCTGCGTATAAGCCCATAGAGGAGCCGGTTAGCAGAGATAACTCATTGATATACAAAGTAAATAGGAGAGGCCCGGATACCTCGCCTGGTGGCAATCCACTACGCACTGCTGTCCAAGAGGAGAGTTTCGGGTTGATCGTAACCCCCCGCCCCCTATCTATGAGTAACTACCTCATCCTGTTTAGTAACCTGCTTCTGATGCAGAGATTTTCTAACTTCATGAGTAGTCTTTCGTGAGGAACTTTATTAAAGGCCTTGCAGAAGTCTAGGAGGACGACGTCGATAGGTCTTCCGTTGATCCAGATTTCTCTTGCGGTGAGATTTGGCAAGCATAAGAGGTTTCTTCAGAAGCCGTGCCGTGCTCTGGATAACAAAATATCGTTTTCCAGATATGCCATGACACTCAATAGATTTGCGGCTGAATTTTACAGACCTACTGGTTTCTTAGAGATTGTCTTTGGTGTAAGGATGAACTGGGATGTCAAAACTCCAAAGAAACGTCTGCTGTAGCTGTGTTCAATATTTCTACCTTATGCTTTTCTGAGTCCATTGTACAGAGGTCAGGACGCTCGCTAACCGTGCACATGGTTCGGGGTTCGATCCCCGGCCGACGAACCCCTTTACCTCGCTTAGCCAGAAATAATGCTGGTAAAGAGGAAAGGTTGGGCATGAGGCTAGCAGCCCCATCCCGTAAAATAAACACTGCTACAGAAACCTCAGGCCAATAGCTTGAAACCGCATGTTCCACTGAAGAACGTGAAGGAAAAAATGTTTTTTAAAGGACTTGAAAAATTTTGGAATCTCTTGGTTCCAATACTCTGATTTTGTCATGTTTTGCTGCAAAGAACCCAACTCCTGGGTCGCTGACGCTCTGTCAAACCAAGTAGGAGGATGCATAATGGTTTCCTTCTGAAGTGGAAATTCAGATTGTGCCTGGGAAATAGATCTTCTGGAACCTACAAAATTCATTTCACCAGACGGTTTTCCTGTTTTGCAATAAACAGTATACGGAAGGCCACGTCAGGGATGGGGAAAGAATGGACACGATTGGCGGAAAAAACAAATGGTTAGTAGTTCAAGTTGTTGACAATAGGAGTACGTTGTCTCATATTAAAAAGACAAAAATGAAGCTCTGATAGTTACTGACTAGGAGAACAGAGAATACGTAGCATGGGACAGTAAAGCGAGAAAAACATAAACAGTTTTAGTAGCCCCTGAGATTGGTTTAGACCCTCTTTCCACGGGTGTGAACATGCACTTTTCACATGATATTCAATCCAACCTTGTAGCTGTCGACCAGTGGAGAGGTAACCACATCGGCCGGCAGAGATTTCCATAGGTGGCAGAGTCTGGGTTAAAGAATTAGGCCTGCACGCTTGCCGCCACTTTCCGAGTAGAGATTCAGTTACAGCAACACTCAGGGTGCCATACTGATTATTTACAAATGGGTCGCTAACCGAATATATCCGGTTAGCAACTATTATATGTGGTGTCCTGTGATAGCTTTGTTTCTATGATGAGTAGGAATAAACAGATCCAGTTATATATATTTCTTCCTGTTTATGCAGGAACATACCAATTGTACAGGCATGGATAAGTTATTATATAAATTACACAAAATTTGATGTATAAAGGATTTACAGTTTGGTTGTTCTTTCTGACATCAAAGTCAGTCGGAACAGTCTGCTATAAAGTTTGCTTGTGTAGCACATAAAGAGATATAGAAATATTGTCTTCGCATTAACAAAAAGCCAGACATCAGATGAATGTAATACAAATATCTGGGAAAAATAAAGCTTGAAGTCAATTCTCCTTTATAACTTTGTTGTGAACAGCACCCTTGGCTTAAAGATTATTGATGTATCATGTTGAGATCAGTGATATATTTATTCCATTTTTTCAGTAGTCTTATCGTAATTCTATAACAGGAAAGAAATTTGATCGTGGATACGAAAATTAGATAAGGTCATGTTGGGTTGTTTTACTGCATCAAGTGGTGCCGAGGTCGATTCCAGAATTCTCCATTTGCGCCATTCGTGTCTGCATGGCGGACTGTACTCGTAAGTTGAGTAAAATGTTGAAAACTATTTGAAGACCAGTTGCTTCTTCATTTCAGATCATGAATACTCATTTGCAGCATGTTCGCCAGCGTCTTCAAATGGTAGAATTGGATCGTTCATGGAATTTGAGTGGTTATGAGATAAATGGTTTGGAATTAATCCTCATTTCAGTTTAGATGCAGGGTTGTTCGACCTCGACCAGAAGATGAATAGGAGCAGCAAAATACCAGAAACAGAAAGTAGTTCTCGTGACTGTTTATCATACCATTAGCATTTCAGCCTGGTGGCGGTTTATGCGGCCAATCTTGGTTTGTTTCCCAAGAAGCATGTGTCTCCTAGCTGCCTACATACAAATAAGATTGCTTCAGTGGCGAGGAATGGTTGTCAACGAATGCCTGGAAGCTTATAGAAAAGAGGAGGATGGTGAAAGAGGAGACAGACCAATGCAAAGATGGACAACAGAAGGGGAAGCTGAATTCATCGAACACTGCACTGAATAAAGAAGTGAAGAAGACTTCTAGGAAAGACAAAAGACAATTCTACAGCATCGCTGAATGTGAATGGTACATTAAGTGTACATCTCCGAAGTAGTTCTTTTAAACTAGTCTACAACACACTGGCCGGAAAGTGAATTGACCATCACCTGCAGCTCGGCCAGAAATACCACCAACAGCATGCACACAACTGTCTGCCAGTGGACATCAGTCCTCCAACGAAAGCAGAAATCCTGAATGTGACCGGGCTACTGAATTTCAGTCGGGTGGACAGCAGGGCCTGACAGAAACCCCCCCAAAGCACTGGAAATGGACTCAGACACTTCAGCGGATATGCTAACACCACTAGCACAAAACATTTCGTAAGGGAAGAAAGGTGTCTACTGACTGGAAGAAGGTCTACCTTGTCAAGCTGCAAAAGAAGGGCGACTTAGGCCTCAGTATGCAAGAACTGGCGTGGAGTCATGCTCTTGACCACGCCAAGTAAAATACCAAGTCGGACCATCCTGGAGAGAATAAATGGTGCACTGCGTGCAGAACTCCGACAGACCGGAGCAAGCTGCATTCAGGAAAGGTAAATCATTTTCTGATCAAATTGCAAATCTACGCATTGTCATCACAGAACAAAGCATACAATGACAGTCTAACCTCTACCTCAACTTCCTACACTGAATTTGAATAGGCCTTTGACAGTTAGCGTTGACGGAGAAGTAGATTGGAAACTGTTTCGACACTATGGTGTGCAGTACCCGAATCTTTTTCAACCTCATTCAACAACTGGTCATATGACAATGGTACTTGTCAAATGATTAATGCACAAAAGAAAACTCAGGAAAGCCTTGGAAGTGAATACAGGAGTAAGACAAGCTGGCTGCCTATTATCACCGATGACATTCCTAATTGCGGTGCACTGGACTGTGCGTCAGATTGCGGGTCGGGATTGAGAACACAGAATACAGTGGACCGATAAGAAGAATCTAGAAGATCTGGATTCCACGAATGGATGATTTTTGCTTAATATTGCACAGACTCGAAGACCTAAAGACGAAAAGTGACAAACTGGCTGAAGAGGCCGGTAGAGAAGACAGGACTCTGGGTGAACATAGGGAACACGGAGGTGATGAAGATAACCATCCAACGGTAAAAGCAACCAGCGCCAATCACAATCAACGGGAGAGATTTGACAGGAGTGACTTCCTTCACTTATCTAGAGAGCACAGTTTCAAATACAGGCGGAATGAATAAAGACGCCAAAGAAAGAATCGGAAAGGTGTATCTTGCACATCTTCATCAATCTGAAATCAGTTTGGAAATCTTCTGCACTAACTCAGCATAAAGAACAAGACTCGGATTTTCAACACCAATGTTATATCAGTCAGTTTTTCTATACGGATCAGAAACTCGCACTGTGTGTCACGAAAAGGATTTCCAACCGGTTGTGGCAGACTTTTGTCAAAAGTTGCCTTCGCTAGCTACATACTGAAGGGTAGAAAGACGGCTGGAAAGAATAAGCAACAAGAATCCC